CTGATAAAATTTAAAATCTTGGGGATCCCTGGGTGGCTCAACGGTTTAGCGCCGCCTTCAGCCCAGGGCGTGACCCTGGAGACCTGGGATCGAGTCCCACGGCGGGCTCCCAGCATGGGGCCTGCTTCTCCCGCTGCCTGTGTCTCTCTCTCTCCTCTCTCTCTCTATCATGAATAAATAAATAAATCTTAAAAAAAAAAAAGCTTAAAAAAAAATTTAAAATCTTTTTTTAAAAAGTGAAATAGTAGTATACATCCACAGTCATTTCTCGTCATCTGCATGTTAACCAACTAGCTAGTTCGGACATGCCCTGTTCAATATGGTAGCTACCAGCCACATGACTACTGAGCACTTGAAAGGTGCCCAATCTAAGTTGAAATTAGCTTTGAGTAGAACATACACATGAAGAAAAAAAATATAAAATCTCAACATTTTCTAAACTTTGATTACATAACAAAATGATAACATTTGGGATAAAAATGAATTCAAAATATCATTAAATTCTTTTTTGGGTGCCTGGGTGGCTCAGTTGGTTAAATGTCTGACTCCTGATTTCAGCTCAAGTCATCTCAGGGCTGTGGGATAAAGCCTCACACTCAGCAGGGAGCCTATTTGAGATTCTCTCTCTCCTTCTCCCTCTGCTACACCCCCTGCTCTCCCCAAAAGTGCAAGAGCACAAGCTCTCTAAAATAAATAAATCTGGGCAGCCCCGGTGGCGCAGCGGTTCAGCGGTTTAGCGCCGCCTGCAGCCTGGGGTGTGATCCTGGAGACCCGGAATCAAGTCCCACATGGGGCTCCCTTCCCTGCAGGGAGCCTGCTTCTCCCTCTGCCTGTGTCTCTGCCCCTCTGCCTGCCTGTCTCTCTCTCTCTCTCTCTCTGTCTCTGAATAAATAAAAATAAAAATTTTTAAATAAATATTTTTTAAAAAATAAAAATAAATTCTTGTTTTACTTTTTTTAAGATTTATTTTTTCTTGAAGATTATGGGCAGCCCCGGTGGCTTAGCAGTTTAGCGTCACCTTCGGTCTGGGGTGTGATTCTGGAGACCTGGGATTGAGTCACACTTCGGGCTCCCTGCATGGAGCCTGCCTCTCCTTCTGCCTGTGTCTCTGCCTCTCTCTCTCATGAATAAATAAATAACATCTTAAAAAAAAAGAGAGAGATTTTATTTATTTTGAGAGAAAGTGCATGCAAACGAAGAGCAAAGGGGAAAGGGCATTAGAAGTGGAAGGGAGAGAATCTCAAGCCAACTCCCTGCTGAGCCCAGAGCCTCTCCCAACTAACCTGAGCCAAAACCAAGAGCTGGATGCTTAACCAAATGAACCACCCAGGCACCCCAAGATTTATTTAAATTAAGAGAGAAAGCAGGAGTGCATGCATGGTGGGCAGAGGGGTAGAAGCAAAGGATCTCAAGTAGACTCCACTTAGCCCAGAGTCCAGAGCAGGCCTCAATCCCACAACCCCAAGGTCAGGACCCAAGCCAAAATCAAGAGACAGATGCTCAATAGACTGAGCCATCCAAGCACCCCATTCTTTTACTTTTGTTAATGTAAAAAATGTCTTTTTTAACTTTTTTAATACCAAAAAATATCACGTGGCTCACATTCTATTTGTTTCAAACAGCACTGGGTTTAAGACAACAGGCTTCTAAACCTGCACACAGAGTAATACGTGCAATATGTACTGGAGCTATGCTCAAAATTTTATACTTATGTATTTATTCATTTCTCGGTTCACACTCTTCAATCTATCTTCTATATCAAAATACCAAACATATCAAATATTTTTATATCAAAATATGAAAGTTTCAGAGTCTAATGTGAAATTGTTTAGCAGAGCACTAACAAATATTTGAGTGACCACTGTGCACAGGGCATTCAATCCATAAAGTAACTTACTCTGCTATACTTCAGTGGTCGAAAGGACACATATTCTATATCCTGCTAATATTTAGCACTCTGTTCCTACAGTGTGCCTGGCACCATGCTAGATGTTCTACCCTCCCTCATCCATAAAATCCTCACAACTACCCTATGTAGTAGGTCCTATTTATTTATTTTTATTTATTTATTTTTTTAGTAGGTCCTATTTAAAGAAGAAACTGAAGCACACAGAAATTAAGTAACTTGCCAAAGCCCACAGATTGTGGAAGTAGGATTCCAACTCAGCAGGCTCAAACCAAAGCCACCACACATTTTCCCTAATAAAAGGACTACACAGGGTGGCTGGTTCAGTTGAAAGAGCACAGACTCTTGATCTCAAGGTTGTGAGTTCAAGCCCCATGATGGGTGTAGAGATTACCAAAAAACACAAATAAAACTTCTTTTAAAAAGGACTACACAAGATTGTGTCATCTTACAGGAGGACTGGGTTCTACTTGTGGGTGTGTACCCATTATAAAAAGACTGGAATAGACGGGGCTTAATGCATTGCTTCTCATTCTCTGCCTACTCTTCTCAATAGCAGGTTAAAGTTGACCACACAAATGAAATCCTTGATCTCACAGACTATGTTCCTTTTCCAGAATTTCTAGGCCCTATCCCATCCCTCTGGTCCAATTCCTATGTCCTGCAGGCTTCATTTCAAACACCGTATCTATGCAAGCCCAGTTAAGACTCCCCATGATTCAGGCTAATCACCCTTCCTCCCTATGCTCATCCCTATTGTAGCAGTTCCCACACTCTGTCCTCACTAGACTGCTCAAGGGGTCTATTGTGTTCACCACTTACAGTACCTAAAACCGTGCCTAACATTAGGTGCTCAATAAATATTTGCTGATCTAACCACTTGACCCACCCAGCTACAGCTAAAAGTCGAATATTAAAAGCAAACTTAGTGATAGGAGGGGCTAATCCACAAGCAGAGAACAAGTTCTAAATGTCATTAAATTTATGACAGGTCAAAAGAATAGTACGATATACATGAAATAATGATTGCAATGACTCTTACCCACCCCAGAAAAAGGAAGAGTAAAATTAGAATCTATTTTAAATGATCACTTGCCCAATTTAGTTTCAGCATAATTTTGTAACAATGAATTAAAACGTTGTCCTAAGAAATCCAAATCAACCATTCCAGTAATGCTATAAATTGAAATCAGCTTAATTTTGACAATTCCCAGAGTTCAGAGAAGACTGGAGTTGCTTTTTAAAATCGTCTCAAATATAAAACTAGTTACACTTATAACTGGATTTCACTGCACTCCCCCAATGCTGAGTGCTGGGCTCCACATGACAGGAGCAACCATGTGTCCTTTAAGATATTTACGGGGGGTGGGGTGGGGGGAGAAGGGACGGTTTCCACACACAATTCGTTTAACACAAATTGTGTTAATGCCACTAAATTTTCTAACCAGAGTCCAAAGGGACTTTCCTAGAGCCTTCTCTTTTCCAAAACGGGAAACCGACCTAAAAGGTCAATCTTTAGTTCTTACTTACTAATCTAAGTAATCCTGAAACATGAGGTGAAAGTACATGAGAAGTTCTAGGGCTAAGAGGACCGGCCAAATGTTTTCCTATAAACCGTAGCGTAAAGTCAAATGGAAGAGAGGACTTCATTCTTTCGGGTTTGAGGACAGAAAATGATCATCTCTCTTAGATTACTGCTCCTGTTGATGTCTGGAAAAGCACTGTGAGGCAAACATGCCAACTCAGTCCCACCCCAAGCACGAAGAGCCTCCGATTGTTTGACACATCAATGGATTAGTCAACGCGGGGGAACTCACTTTTCCCCTCTAATTTGCTTTAATTATTCCTCACACAAACCCTCAAGTTTACTCAAAGTTATGACCATATGGAATCTTCTCTCGGCCCCTAAGTATTAAATCCAGGCCTTTACCAAACGACTACTACGGCTTCAATCCCATCCCCTAAAATAAATCCCTTACAAGTATCGTACATCTAGTTAACGCCACACAGATATGGAAAAAGCCAGTCCAGGCGCTTAAAGAAACAGCATTTTGGAACGTGGTTAATGCTGCATATTTTGCAACAGAGGCAATGAACAGAGTGGGAGACTCGAAAGCAAAAGACCGGATGGAAAGCATGGGAAGACCCCGCCCCAAGCAAGCTCGACGTCGATTCAAACAGTAACTTGGGTCTGTTCGCCTGGAATCGGAATCACTGAAACAAAGGCGTTTATTACGGGAAGCAAGATGTCTGGAGTTAACAGAAACGGTCTGCAGCTACCCAGACCGTACACCATCTTCCCACAGGTCTTACCTATGGTGGAAATAAAGGTGGTATTGAAGGCATCATCCGAAAAACGAAAGAGGACGCAGGTCTTCCCTACTCCCGAGTCTCCGATCAGGAGCAGCTTGAAAAGCAGGTCGTACGTCTTCTTCGCCATTGGGAGGAGCGGCTCAGGCTCTCGCCGCCGGCGGCCCCAAGGGATCGGTCCCTCTCACGACGGCCAACTCCTCACTTGGGCGTTCTCAGGCCGGAGGACCGGGGTAGCGTGGGAAAAACGAGGGCTCGAGAGGGCGCGGGCGACCTGCGAACGGCCTCGTCGAGGAAGCCCCGACGGTGGCGGCGTCCGGTGCCTCCGAGGGCGGCGACCGCGGCTCCGCAGCCTCTCCCAGCCGCTCCGCCCGGTTCCGGGGAGTCGGTCGGGACAAAATGGCCTCCCCTCCCCCCTCAGGGCTGCTCGGCCGGGACGCTCCCACGGGCGAGCGAACAAGCTCTGCCGTCGAGGGAGCGCGGCGGACGTGAGGACAGGCTCTCTCCCGAGCAGAAACTCCGCGCCAGGACGCGGCGGCGGCAGCGAAGGAGGACCCCGAGCCGGCGAGCCCAGCTACATAGCCACAGGAAGCCGAGCCTCCCCGGCCAGAGCCACCTTTTCCCCGTGCCCTCTCACGCCGGCGTGCGCGCTGCCTGAGACGCACGCAAGGACGTACGCCCGCCCTCCCCTCGCGCCCTCGCCCTGCGGATCGCCTCTGCGCACGCGCGCCGGAGGGTGTCGGGGCACGCGGGGGCGGGGAGTGGCGCGCCGGGGTCTCAGAGCCTCAGTCTAGGGCCCCGCGGAGAAGAGAGAGGGGAGGGGCGAGAGAGGGCGAGGCCGCGGGCGCGCTCCCTGCGGCCGCCTGATAGGGCGCGCGGCGCTACGAGCACGCCCCGCGGGGAGGCGCTGCCTGGCGACTGCGCAGGCGCGGCACGCTGGAGTAGCCCCTTGGCACCCCCCACACCCCCCCGGGCTTCTTCCGGGGGTCGCCCTCCTGGCTACGCTGAGGAGGCTCCCGGCCGCGTGTGTCGCGTGTGTCGCGTGTGTCGCGTGTGTCGAGTTGAAGGTCTCGGCGCACTGACAGGCTCGGACGGCCGTAAGTTCCGGTGCAGCGGCGGCTCGTCAACGCGAGAAAAAAAAAAGTGGCGCCCTGGGTCGTTAATAGGCTCTTTGCTGAAATGAGACGCATCCCCGGAGTGCCCGCCCTCGTGGCTAATCGTGACGGGAGAAACATTTAGACCTCCATCCCGCTTTGCTTAACGAGCACGAGTCGACGTTCCAGAGAGCAGCAGTTTGAAGTGGAAAAACTGGCCGGCCTCTCAGGTTGGGATGATGTCATCCGCCTTTCAGGGCAAGGAGAGGAGGATTGAGGAACACCTGGGCGCAGGGAGGACCTTCCCGCGAAGTGGAGGCTGGGGTGCCGGGCGCCGCGGCGAGAACCCGCTGCAGGCCTTGCAGTCCGTTTTGGAAGCCGGGAGAGCCCCGAGCGCCATGCAGGGGAAGCACGGCCCCTCCCTGCCGCCAAAATCGAACCACCGGTGTCCAAAATTGAAGGATACTAAAGCCAGCCCCAACCCGACGCTGCCTCTTCCTGGCACTCTCTTTTCATATGCCTTAAGCAGCCCTTCCTTCGGGCTCCCCCCGTCAGGCTTTATGCTTCCCTCTTCCTCTCCTTCCTTTCTGTAGGTTAAATAGTCGTCCTCCTGCCCTGCCATTCCCAGTGTGTTGCACCGCCGCAAAGCACACCTAGAGAGAGTGTCATGGCTGGGAAGTTGAACCTGTGGTTCGTCCTGATACAGGAGAAAACCCTGAGACATCTGGAAACATCTGGATTGAGACAGAAGTAAAAACTACATTTTTACACCCTGCCGCACCCCCTCCCGCCGGAAAAAAAAATGTTATGTATATTTAATATGTAATTAAAATTGGTCTTTGAGGGATCCCTGGGTGGCTCGGTGGTTTAGCGCCTGCCTTTGGCCCAGGGCACGATCCTGGAGTCCCGGGATCGAGTCCCGCGTCGGGCTCCCAGCATGGAGCCTGCTTCTCCCTCCTCCTGTGTCTCTGCCTCTCTCTCTCTCTCTCTCTCTCCACGTCTATCATAAATAAATAAAACAAACAAAATCTTAAAAAAAAAATAAAATTGGTCTTTGAGGCAGTTAGGGTAATCACATTTCAATCTCCCATTTTTTAAAAGCTTGGCTTGCGTTCTTCCTTCCCAATCACCCCCAAAACCTCCCTACTGAAAATGCTTGTCTTCTTTAATACACCTCGCCCTTCAGTTTGTTTCTATGATTGCTCTTGTTTCTCAAACCTTATCCTCTATGGATCATTCTTTTTCCAGTCCGGAGTGTCTTAAGATAATACCAACAATTCTAATATAACTGTGCAAATCAAAATGAGCTATGGCCAGTGCTACACAGGTTTGTCATCAATTAAGCCATGACATTGTGCACCTCGGGGACTCCATTGATGGCGTGATTCTCCCATTCAAAATAAGTTTGATTAACTCAAGCCCCAGTATTGTGAAGCATTTTTTTTTTGATGTCATGATTTTTAAATGTAGAAAGCCTAATTAATTCCACTACATAAATTTTGGGAATTAGGGCAGCTAAATATGGAAAATCAATTTTTAAAACTATGCTTTATCCCAGTTGTTTCGAGCAGTTATATCAATTAGCCTTTTCTCCACAGGCTCCATATTCTGAAACCTTAGGAATTAATTACACTTATTAACAAATTGTATTTATTATTGAGTCAGGATTGTAGAATTTTAGAGCTTTCATTTTTTTTTTTTTTTAAGATTTATTTATTTGAGGCACTGAGTGCTCAGCAGTTGAATCTCTGCCTTTGGCTCAAGGCATGATCCTGGGATCCAGGATCCAGTCCCGCATCAGGCTCCCTACTAGGAGCTTGCTTCTCCCTCTGCCTGTGTCTCTCATGAATCATGAAAATATTTTTAAAAGATTTTTCTCTCATGAAATATGTTTTTAAAAGATTTATTTATTTGAGAAACCATGCACATGCGATGGGGCACAAGGCAGTAAATCCCAAGCAGACACTGTACTGAGCATGCAGCCAGAAGAGGGGCTCATCCCACCCCTCTGAACCAAAACGGAGAATCAGATGCCCAGCTGGCTGTACCACCCAGGTGCCCCAAGCTTTCATATCTTTAAATCATAATTCAACTCTTGCATGTGATTTACAAATAAGTCTAAGGCTTAGAGGTCACACCATTAGTGGCAGAGCCAGCATTATGTGCGAGGGAAAGGGGAAGAAAACCTCTACAGGATATCACATCGCATGGAGGTGGCTCAGCCAGTACTTAATATTTGGCTTCCCTAAAGTTAATTAAAAGTTTTGCTGGAGTAAGACATAAGCATCAAGCTATATCTACCACTGAAGGTGTCTGGCATGATCAAGGTGTGAAAGATCTCTGACTCTAGAAAAAAAGAAAAAAATGAGGGTCTATGTAGGCCTAAAAGGTAAACCTAGCATCCTGAAATAATATTTGATAAATGCTAAAACTTAGTGAAAGAAAATGCCAAGTTATTACTAGCTTAGGATATATGCCGTTTAAAAAATTGCTCTGAAAAGACTCTACTCCAGGGGAGCCTGGGTGGCTCAGCATTAAGCATTTGCCTTCAGATCAGGTCATGATCTCAGGTGGGATCCAGCCCGGTATCTGGCTCCCCACTCAGTGAGAAGTCTACTTCTCCCTCTGCCTCTCCCCCTCCCCTCTTGCCCCTGCGCAGGCTCATTCTCTGTCTCTCAAAGAAAATCTTTAAAAAAAAAAAAAAAAGACTCTAGTCCAAATATTTGTAAAGCCAAGAAATAAAATAGGTATATTTATATGTTCATATTATTAGTTAAGGTATTATTTCTATATTTTTCTAGAGAACACAAGCTGACCAAAGTCATGTTTCCAATCTTCAGCTTCAACTTTCAGGAACTGCCTCTAAAGCTATAAGAAATCCCTGCCTTGGGGCAACTGGCTTGTTCTGTCTGAGGAACATGCAACTCTTGATCTTGGCTTCATGAGTTTGAGCCCCATGCTGAATGTAGAGATAACTTAAATATATATATACATAAGCTTCAAAAAAAAAAAAAAAAGAAAGAAAAAAAGAAATCCCTACTTCAAAAGATACTGACTCAGGATCATCTCTCCTCCTCTTCCCGCATATACTTTCTATTCTTTATACCTGATTTCTTCCTTTAATTTCTCCACCCCTTTGCTCTCTTTGTTCTCCTTAAAAAATGGAGTTCTTCCCTTGAGTGGCAATTCCACTGTTAGGTCATCACCTTGCTGTAAAACCTACCATTCCAATCTCAGGGCTTTTGCCCATTTGCTACTGCCTGTTTCCTGTGTTCACATGCCCAACCTTCAGCAAGGAAGTCCATGAAGAAGGTCTCTTTTAGACATCCCTGATGCCCAGAGGCTGTAACTGTTCTTATCACCATTCCCTGCCAATATTCTGCCCTGACTACCTATCTTGACTTGATCCTACTTCTTGTTAGAGAATGATTGCCCCATGAGCCTTCCCCAGTACATTGCATTGTTTGTTCTAAACTTCTCCAGGGGGGCAGCCTGGGTGGCTCAGCGGTTTAGCACCTGCCTTTGGCCCAGGGCGTGATCCTGGAGTCCTGGGATCAAGTCCTACATCGGGCTCCCTGCATGGAGCCTGCTTCTCCCTCTGCTGATGTCTCTGCCTCTCTCTCTCTCTTTTTTTTTCTCTCTCTCTCTCATGAGTAAATAAATAAAATATTTTTTAAAAAAACTTCTCCAGGGATACCTCAGTTCTGAAATACTGGGCTCCCGAGTGCTGGCACTTAAGGGCAAGTCCATACCAGTGAGCTTTATTTCCTATCCTGGTTTCCATATATTAGTCTCCAGATGAACTGAACTAGTCATCTTTTCTGCAGTTACTATGCATCTTCTTGATTTCATGCTTAGTTTCATGTGGTTCTCTCCATCTGAAATGCACCCTCTCCTCACCCCACTTATATATCTCTTCAACCTTCAGCATAAAAGTCCTCAGCATAGGCTGTCTTCCCCAACGCTCTTGCTGGGGAAGGAACTTGTTTCTCTTTTGAACTCCCATAGCACTTTAAAAAAATCAATTGTTTCCCCTTTCTTATTTCACAAGTAACATAGAACCTGTAGATAAGCAAAACACAAAATATTAATTATTAAAAAAACTACCCGCAGGAGTGTCTGGCTGGCTCAGTTCATAGAACATGCAACTCAATCTCAGGGTTGTGAGTCTGAGCCCCACATTGGGCATAGAGCTTACTAAAAAAAATTTAAACATCAAATAAATAAAATCTTTAAAAAAAATGTAAAGGAAAGCTTCGGTGACTCAGTGGTTGAGCATCTGCCTTCAGCTCAGGGCATGATCTCGGAGTCCCGGAATTGAGTCCCACATCAGGTCCCTTGCATGGAGCTTGCTTCTCCTGTCTCTGCCTCTCTCTGTCTCTTATGAATAAATAAATAAGATCTTTTTTTAAAAATGTAAAAAACTCAGGGCCCCTGCGTGGCTTAGTGGGTTAAGTGTCTGCTTTCGGCTCAGGTCATGATCCCAGGGTACTGGGATAGAGCCCTGCATTGGCTCCCTCCTCAATAGATAGCCTGCTTCTTCCTCTGTTACTCCCCCTGCTTGTACTCTCTCTGTCAAATAAATAAATAAAATCTTTTTTAAAAAAAATACACCTTGAGTTGGTTAGATTTAAGGTTCTATATCTGTCCCTTTGTTAAAAAGAGATCTGTTGTAAGTTACTTATATCTCTAAACCTGTTTTCTCATCTGTGAAGTGAAAATAAGATAGAAAGTACCGTAAGATTGTGTGAGGATTAGATGAGATGCAGTGTTTGGCCTTTAGTTAAGCCTCAGCGATGTTATTACCGCCACAAGAACTAACACAACTTTTTCCATTTGAGGATCATTGGCTTGTTGAAAAAAGCAAAACTAGAGGGGCACAAATCTTAACAAATTACATGTTTTGAGACATGAAATGCATTCTGTTAATCCATGGTGACATCCTAGACAGGAAGGGATCTTTGCAACTTTATGCCTCGCTCCCTGAATAGAGTCTGATTCTCCCTCTGCCTGTGTCTCTGCCTCTCTCTCTCTCTCCCTCTCTCTCTCTCTCTCATGAATAAATAAAATAAAATCTTTTAAAAATGTAAATATGTAAACTAACCTTTTTATAATGTCTAAAGAAAAACAAAAGAATCATCTAAGGCAAAAAGAATCATCCAAGATAATCAAGGATGATTATCTATTTTCTAATAATTGACTGTTCAACTAGGTAATAAAGTATTAGCTACTTTATTTAACTGCTCTATTAACTGCAATTCACATTATTTAGAAAATGAGAGCATCAAGAAATAAACAAACATAGTGGTTCTCTTTTAACATGAAGACATGCAGTAGGGGCACCTGGGTGACTCAGTGATTGAGCATCTTACTTCAGCTCAGGTCATGATCCTGAGGTCTTGGGATCGAGTCCCACATCAGGCTCCCTTGCAGGGAGCCTGCTTCTCCCTCTGCTTATGTCTCTGCCTCTCTCTCTATGTCTATCATGAATAAATAAATAAAATCTTAAAAAAAAAAGACATGCAGAATAAACCCCTGGGTGGATCAATGCAAAACAGGGCTATAAGGGCACACTTTATCCATCACAGGAACTGGAATTTTTATAGCAGCAAAAGTCAGAGCTCTGAAGAGCAAAGGAGGCTTTAGATAAATTGAGAGGGAAAGACAGGAGGGGAGAGCACAGGGCATGGTGACTTAACCTGCATGAGATGGTCAGAAAATTCACAGAAGCACCAAAAGTCAGAAGAAAACAGAGTTAAAGAGAAAAGGCACTTTCTAGAGGCAGAACAAGAGGACAGGAATGCTTTAACCCTTTTCCATGGCAAGAAATTTGAAGCCACACTTGTG